CGGTAGTTGTACTCCTGGAAGTAAATATTCAGCTTGATGATCCCGTTCCTGTAAGGGAGAACCAGCAGCTCAGCACGGAGCCGGGCTAGGGGGTCCCAAGCCCCCCTCCGCTGCCCATCCCCAGGACCGGCCACGACAGCCCGGCTGCTCCGAGCATCCGCTGAACCCTCCGCTGGGCACACGGGAGAGGGCAGAGTGCCAGACTGGGAAGGGAGGAGAGACGTGGCTCTGAGGTCCCTCCTGGAGCAGCACGTGGGCACCTGGACGCTTCTCTGGGGCTGTTTGGTTTTTGGGGCTGCGCCCTCCCCAGTGCCCTGCACCTCGCGCTCCTGCGCACGCCCAGAGCGGCTGCACCACGACCCACCCTGCTACGGGGGCTCCACGTGTCCAGCTCAGCAACAGCTGTCAGGCCATTCCTGATTCTCTCGTTTTTCTTCCTTAGGGAAACCCCTCCTCCTTTCCCCCTGATTCGGGGTTTCGCCTCTCAAAGGGTAATGCAGCGGTTGCCCTAATTTTGGTGCATCCCCCCTGCTGCCGCTGACAGATTCTGGGATGTAGGCACACGGGGACGCAGGTTACGATCCAGGAGCTGGATGCTGGCGATTCACAGCCCCAGAGCTCCCAGACTCCCACCTGCAGCTCTGGAGGTGCTGCGGTTTGTCCTGATTTTACCTTAACGGCACGTTTGGGTTGGCCTGACCCCGTTTGTCCCTATGCAGGGGATAGGTATGGAGCGTGTTTCAAATTTGCTTTATGTATCTTCCCGGCAAACATGCGCCAAATCCTGTCCCCCCTTTGCACTGGCACGCGCGTGCTGGGGCCCCTGTGTTAATCTCACGTTCACGGGCTCCACGGGGAAGATGAAGCGGTTGTTCCGTCCACTCACCTGTCCAGAGTCACGTTGGTCGACATATCCCTTTCGTAGGACAGGATATGGAAAATCCAGTCCTAGGAGAACAAAACGCATTCAGACCCGAGCAGAAGCATCCTCTGGGCGCTGCTGGACCCCCGGGAGCTGCAGGGCTGGGGGTGGGAGCCCCAGGGGTCCCCAGTCCTGTCCCACGCCCTGGCACGGGGATTTGCTCGCTGAAAAGGGGCAGTTGTGCAAAGAGGCTGCCTGGACATCAGCTCTGGGAATGCTGAGGGGTTCCTGCAGCCAGGAGCAGGGAATTACGGGTGAACGTTTCGAACAAGAACGGGGGTTACCTCCGAGGCCTCGGACGGCCAGTCTGCCATGGAGATGGTCATCTTGTACTGGGTGTCGCTGGGGAGGAGAGGAGAACACTAGTACAGGAGTTTCCCCCTCTCTCAATCCCTGGAACTTCAGTTCTCGCACGGGGAAGCAGCCCCCCGTGACCCGCCGCCGTTTCAGCAAGGTCAGAACCGATGGGAGACGGAGCGCGGGGTCCCGCCACCCGGGCCGCCCCGGAAGGACGCAGGCACTTACTTGCACGTTTCCTTGCAAGAGTCGATACAAATCTGCCTGTGCCGTATGCTCGATCGCAGCGATGAGTAGCAGTATGCTGGTTGGTGCAAACACAAAATCAAAGCTTCTCTTTAGGTGAGGACCCTGCTTACGAGGTTACATCAATTTCATTTCACTAAATCAATATCAAGGTGTGAGCCTGCTGCCCAGGCTTGCCATCTTCTCCTCAAACTTCCTTTTCCTTGAGAAACTCAGGCAAAGCGCTCAGGCAATGAACAATAAATTTAAACCAGATGTTCATTTCCTCT